TGATCCTTACCTGCCAGGGTCTGTCCCAATCCAGGTTGATCCTTACCTGCCAGGGTCTGTCCCAATCCAGATTGATCCTTACCTGCCAGGGTATGTCCCAATCCAGGTTGATCCTTACCTGCCAGGGTCTGTCCCAATCCAGCGGGATAGGGAGGGCGCCCAGCCATGCTCCCAGGATACTTCCTACCGAGGCACAGTAGAGGATTGACTCGGCTCCTACGTCAGGACTGAAACAGACAATTCACCTGTTCTCACATATGTCATCCTTCATATATCAAACTCATAACTCTCATGTACAATGTATGTTTCAATCAGAATAAAACATACCAGGTATGTATCTTTAATTTACTACTGATAATATGAAAAATATTCGATTATAAATCTTAACACTCACTTTTGATTAAGGCATTTAAAGAAAATTGAAATAGTTTTACCTGTTTTGAGCATACACTCTAACCCAATTTGAGAAGTTTATTCCCAGCACACAGAGGCTTGGAAATACAGTTGTAACAGTCAGGAGCAGGGCAAAGTGGAAGGTCTCTGCTACAGAGCTACAACATACACTAAAACATATCAGCAAACATCTTCTCTACTTAGCCATTACAGAACTAAAAGATACACTAAAACAAATCAGCAAACATCTTCTCTCTTTATATTAGCCAAAACCTTAACTGACACACTTCAACAAAAGTCTCCGTTACAGAACTACAACCTGCACGGAAACGTTTTAGCAAACCTTTAACTATAAATGAAAAATATAAAAGTCACAATTTCATCATAATACAGCACGTTGTATGAATACATTTCAACTAGTAACAGTCATTGACTTACCATTAATTGATAAGAAAACAGATATTGTAGCTGTTTTTTTTAACAAATAATTTCTCTCTAATTTGAATAATTGTAACGTTATTATGATTTTTCATTATATTTTGTTTTAATTACTCTAGCTCTTGCTGATGGGAAACTTCCTACAATGTCGATGCTATTTAGAAATGTTAAAATGACTAAATGCAACTAGATAAAACTTGAAGCATGGGCTTCACAAATACCCCTCTCCTTCTCACATACCATCTGCAAATGTACAAAGTTGACATATGATGCGAAAACCGTATTTTAGTACTTTAGGTCAAACTGAGGTCACAGTGACCTCATTTATGGTGTGACACACTGCCGTCCTATATACAAAGTTTAATGCCCATCCATATTATGGTTGCCTTCTAGTTTCAAGCTAGAAGGAATGTCCATTTAGCTAAATTGGTATAGTACTAGTGACAGACTTGAAAGCTGGGGATTGCTGGTTTGATTCCCGATGGAAGCATCCTACTGTCTTTCCTGTTCCAAATAGATATTCTATCTTTGAGGAAGCTGACTTCAATAAATTTCTTCTGTTGTTTCATTGTAAAATAAATATATATAATTTAATTGAAAACATCTCTCTTGTTGTTTAGAAGATATACAATGTAGCACTGAGAAGTAATAGGTAGCAAAGAATTTATTTAGTGGACACAGCAAATGGCAATGGCTGTTGTAAACATGACAAAAAACCAATGCAATGCTAAAGAACAGTTAAAAATTGCTTACTTTATAAATGGAGCACCAAAAAGGACAGCGATGCAGTGATAGCCGATACTTCCGAGAATGAGAACCCCAAAAACCTTTACTACACTTCTGACCTGAAAACAAGCATTATGTAAAACTAAAATGTACAAAAACCGATGCAACACAGAGTTAAGGAAAAACTCATTCACATTTAGAGTAGTGGATGAGTGGAACAATCTACCTGGACATGTTGTGAATACTCAAACAATTAGGGAGTTTGAAATTTTAAGTGATGAAAATTTTAAAGAAACACTCTATGATACGTGAAACACAATAAGACTATGTAATACATATGTATAATACTGTTGTTTACACTCCTACAAACTATATAAATGTTAAATATTTGTTGATATTGACCTAAGGGCTTGATAGTTTGTTAAATGTGTATGATCTGTTATGTATTAGGGAGGAATGTAGCAGAACTGGACTGGGTCTATCAGCGGCGACCAGATAGCTTAATTGGCAGAGAGTCCGTCAAGAGTTTGGAAGGTCCCGGGTTCAAACGCCGGTCTGGCCATGCATTTTCCCTCTCCTGTTACAGTGGTGCCTGTGACCAACCCTTGTTTCCAGCATTTGGTGTTTGCTTGACAATGGGATACCACAACCTGGATTGTAAATAGTTGTGCCTTTGGGGGCGAAGACTAAGAAAAAGGAGGGAGGGAGGAATGTAACGGAACTGGACTGGGTCGATAATCGGCGACCAGATAAAGAGTCTGTCTAGAGTTAGGAACGTCCCGGCTTCAAACCCCGGTCTGGCCATGCATTTTTCCTCTCCTGTTACAGTGGCGCCTGTGACCAACCCTTGTTTCAAGCATTTGGTGTTTACTTGATAAGGGGATACCCCAATCTGGGTTGTAAAATAGTTGTGCCTTTCGGGGGGGGGGAGACTTAGAAAAAGGAGGGAGGGAGGAATGTAACGGAACTGGACTGGGTCGATCATCAGCGACCAGATAGCTCAATTGGTAGAGAGTCTGTCTAGAGTTAGGAAGGTCCCGGGTTCAAACCCTGGTCTGGCCATGCATTTTTCCTCTCCTGTTACAGTGGTGCCTGTGACCAACCCTTGTTTCAAGCATTTGGTGTTTGCTTGACAAGGGGATACCCCAACCTGGGTTGTAAAAAGTTGTTTTTTGATGGGCGAAGACTTAGAAAAAGGAGGGAAGAATGTAGAGGAACTGCACTGGGTCGATCGTCAGCGACCAGATAACTCAATTGGCAGAGCATCCGCCTAGAGTTTGGAAGGTCACGGGTTCAAACCCCAGTCTAGTAGTGCGTTTTTCCCTTCTGTTACACGTCCATTGTTATTCAATTAAATTACAAATCACGGCAAGTATCTTGGTTTAGGGATAAGAACAATCATAACTTGATATAAAATATCATACGGTATTCTTCAAGCAATCAGTGAGAAATCCCTCCTAGATACAGAACTTATCATTTTCAAAAAATATAAACATTCAACAGCAAAACAGGCTTGAACCCTGTTTGTCTTTTAGATCAACAACAAACCAATTGTATGAATGTTCAGAAAGGTTCAAGAAGGCTTACTTTAAATGTTGTCGGTTTATTCTGTGCATACTTCGGCACTATAATCGCATTCACCACAATTTGAAACAATGTGAAAACAACAATTAACGATTTTACAGCAGTTAGACATTCATTAACAATGTCAATAGGTAAATGTGTGTTCATTGGTAGGTAAACAATCAAAGTTACTATTAAACACAGAAGTAAATGAGTTCTTATTAGTAAATTAACGGTCTCCTTGTTTGGAAGCCGCAAATTCATGGGCGCAGACATCTTGAATTTGTGTTTTCTCCCTCTACGCGTAGAAGAGTGATACATTTTTGACGTTAACATAAAACGTCACTTCCGGGTTAGAATCATGTCAAAACAAAACCACGCTCAAGTTTCATGACCCAGCTTGCATCGCATTAAGAAATTTCCTGTGGAATTTCCACATGATGTTATGGCCCATATATTTCGATTAACTGACCGGAAGGGTTTTTCTGTATGCACGATCACCTCATGTGCATAAAAATAGGAATACAAGGTAAGATTATATACAAACTGCCACGCCCCCATTTTGACAGCTGACGGGAAAACACGATTTGACGTTTGCATATAAATAGGAAATTGTTACATCAGTTATAATTATAATGAAATTTTTAGTTCATTGATCGGACTCTGAAATAAGTTTTATTATCACAAAGACTGGAAACACAAACGAATATCATATAGATACTGTATGCTAATGTTCTCCATCTTTAAAATATGTAATCTCAGGTCACTACACACATTTTTCTTCCCAAACAGTGTTGTGGGTCTGCCATCGTGTACAGATTCAGTTGACAGAATGAGGGACCTGCCTCCTGAGCTGTTGTTGCAGATCTTCCAGAACCTGACTGCATCTGATCTGTGCAGTGCAGGGAGGGTGTGTAGGTACTGGGGTTGTATAAGCACATCAGAGATTCTGTGGAGGAAACTTTGTGACACACTGGAGGTGAAACCAGAACTCTTACACAATGATCGGGCACTTGGATACTCCTGGAAGGTGAGGATGACATTAGTAATACATGTTACACTGTTGCCTCGTCTGTCTACAACCTTACTGTCTTGAAGTGTGACTCATCTGTTTCCAAAATGCAACCTTACTGTCTTGTAGTGTGCCTCGTCTGTCTACAACCTTACTGTCTTGAAGTGTGCCTCGTCTGTCTACAAAATGCAACCTTACTGTCTTGTAGTGTGCCTCGTCTGTCTACAACCTTACTGTCTTGAAGTGTGCCTTGTCTGTCTACAACCTTACTGTCTTGTAGTGTGCCTTGTCTGTCTACAACCTTACTGTCTTGAACTGTTCCTATTCTGTCTACAACCTTACTGTCTTGTAGTGTTCCTCGTCTGTCTACAACCTTACTGTCTTGAAGTGTTTCTTGTCTGTCTACAACCTTACTGTCTTGTAGTGTGCCCCGCCTGTCTACAACCTTACTGTCTTGTAGTGTGCCCCGCCTGTCTACAACCGTACCATCAGGCATTGTGTCTTTTTTCTCTACAACCTAACCACCACAGAGTGTGATAGCTGCAGGAACTGTAGCTAATAGGCTCATTCGTTTTAATTTATATTTTATTTCATTAGGTCCGATAATTTAAAAACCCAAAAGATTAAAACGATCATGCCTGGAAGCTACCGTTTCCCCAGCTTAGAGTGTGACATATCTCATTAAAACCTTGTGGTCTTGTAGTTGCCTCGTCTCTTCAACCTTACCATCTTGTAGTGTGCCTCGTCTCTCTACAACTCTAATATCATACATATTGTATCGTGCATGCTGTTTATCGGAGGAAACACATTTTTTTTGGTTCTTTTTTAAAAGTTAATAAATACTATGTGTACTAGGGGAAAATTGCACTAATCTACATTAACTTTGATAACTTAGCCTCTGCCAAACTTGCCATGTCAGATTGCCACTGTGATAAAGTTTTAATGACTTATAAATCCATTAACAATACAGACATTAAAAGACTTTAAAGAAATCTATATATACTACTATGGTGTTAAATCAGTGCAGTGTAGTTTGGATGTTAACAAACATTTCATTATTATATACATGTACACTGTACTGTAAATGTTGTCTGCACTGAAACATATCACTGAGGTATAGCTGATAAACAAAGTCAGTACAGGGTACAAACAGATCTTGTCTAAAATTTCAGGAAGTGTACCAGATGAACCATGGCAGTCGAGGCCGGAGGCGACAGTGGCTGAGAGGGTGTCACAGCAACTTCAGTTCGTATCAGGAACTGCCGAAACAAATCATGTGTACCATGGATGTAGAAGGATGGGAGCAGATATTCCAAATGGAATTAGAGAGATAGCTGTAATATTGATTGAGACAATTGTCATTGATCTTGATACATGATCAAGCAATTTTTGGAGTGTATTTGAATTTTTGTTAGTATTTATTGAAAGTTTTCAGTTTTTAATCTTAAATTGTTTGTTATATTCTACTTTTTGTTTGTTATATTTTGCAATGTATTTTATTTTGTAAATTTCATTTATATTTTATTTTAATTAATCACAGTCGTTTTATGTCTGTAATGAATCCTGTGCTGTACGCACCTTTGTATCTAGTTTAACCTATTCCCCATCCTTCCTCTAACTAAGCCAATTCTGAGACAACAGCTTCCCAGACAGATTATTTTCATTTTCTTATTTACCCGGGTATAGAAGGAAAACCCATGAAATGTTTTTTAAACTTATTTTGCTTTGGTTTTCATTAATATCATATGTTTGGCAAAGTTAAATTACCTGGTAGTGTAGTGTGAAGATAAAACCTGTTCTTGGAATTGTTTTAAAGTAGGAAATGCCTGTATACAGGGATTTGTCATCAAGAGAAAGCTTTCTGAATCTCTGTTTACAGGGTTTAAATAGGGATTCATCGATGAAAGGGTTTTAATAATGAAGGTTATATACAATGGATCTTGTTTTAATCCGATGTATACTTTTGATATACATGTATTAAACAGTATCATTAATATGCAGGCGTCACCTTATAATTAAATAACGTTAGCTGTCAAAAGGACGGTAAACCCAATGAAGTCACACCGAGTGTTCAGGTGGGAAGTGTGACATGATAAACACAAATTCTAGTCAGGAGTGGAAGTGATGGTGTGTTTACATTGATTTAAGTCAAGTGTTTTATCTCATCAAAGTTTTATGATTAAAAAAAATCTTCATTGCTTGAAAAATCTGTAAGTTTAAAATAACAGCTTTTCATGTCAAATATACTTCTGAAATTAATTCGAAACATTTATGTCAAGATAGGATATGTACATTCATTTTTGTTTTATTTAATTGTGAAAAAGATTCAGTGCTCAGTTGATATGGTCATATAGTGTGCTGTTTCATTACCCTACTCCAGGATCAGTTTTGTAATCACATACAATCTAGAGTTAGTGTAAGTTTAGAATGGAATGTATGTCAGTGTACTGAATGATGTAGAGCTGTATAAGTGCTGTGTACATGTAAGTAATGTTGAGACCTCTGGTTAGGTGTAATATAAGCTGTGTAAGTGCTGTGTACATGTAAGTAATGTTGAGGTCTCTGGTTAGGTGTAATATAAGCTGTGTAAGTGCTGTGTACTTGTAAGTAATGTTGAGACCTCTGGTTAGGTGTAATATAAGCTGTGTAAGTGCTGTGTACTTGTAAGTAATGTTGAGACCTCTGGTTAGGTGTAATATAAGCTTTGTAAGTGCTGTGTACGTGTAAGTAATGTTGAGACCTTTGGTTATGTGTAAAATAAGCTGGGAAGTGTAATCGGAACGGTGTAAATGTGAACTTATTCCATCTTTTCGTATTGTAGAGTTATCTTCTCTTGTGAGCAGGTATTGAGTGTTACGTCATTAGTTTGTGTGACAAAATTTCGTCTTTTTCTAAAAAAATTATGACGTTACTCTCACAAATAAATGATGTAACAATCAATACCTGATCACAAGAGCAGATAACTCTGCAATACGAAAAGACGGAATAGAACGGACTAAGATTGCTATCTAATTCCGTGCTTATAGGTAATTATGAGTATAAAGAAAGAGGGGATGTGATAGTGGCAGTTTTTAAATCAAGTTTTTGATATGTAATAGTATATATACAAGTAACAATTGTTTGATGCTCATCAATGGCTGTGTCTTACTTGTATATAACGTGTAATTAAACACTTGTAATTAAACAGTAATACATGTAGGTGATTCCTTGTGTTTTTGTATTTTTCATCAGAAACAATCTGTAGTCTGGTACTAATAGAAACGTTGTACACATTGTTACACTCTGAAATGTGAGCTCATTCCATGTTTCACCCAAGTCTGAGAGGTGATGACAACAATTTCTATTGATTCACGGCCTGACAAGCCAACTTTTCTGAAATACTTGCACTGGATACTTGTATAATCTTTCATCACAATAAATTAAAAAGAGAATGTTGATAGTGATGATGCCTAATGTGACAGAAAGATAGATATTGACTTTAGTGTTTTCCCTGCCTTTTCATGATGAGGGTACATGTATAAAAATGCCGCTCCATATATGAAAATTACATATGATTCAAAATACTTAAGAAACAAACGCTTCAGTAAATTAGAAAAATTAGATTTATTTAAAAAATGAATGGAAAAAAGAAAAAATACCACTATCATCAATGGAACATGACACAGTATAACATCGTGATCGTTTCTGCCTTGTCTGGATCCCCTTACTTTAAGCTGCCTTAGATACTTTCTGAAAAGGTATCAAAACATTACTGTCACCGACTTTGAATGCTTCCAACTTGAAAAAATTGTTGTAATATTGCTTCCTTGTTTTGAATCCTTTTTTCCACACAGAAATCGCTTACATTACAAAATAAAATTACACAGGATTCTTATTATACTTACTTCCATTATCCATACCTGCAGTTACATTCATTATGTACTTATACATACATAGTTACATTTAGTATGTACTTATACATACATAGTTACATTCATTAACTAGTTTCATAGAAGTTCCCCAAGGAGTGCTGCTTGGTACATTAAATGTATGATGTTTATCTAAACTCAAGTTAGTAATCTTTCTTATCGTATTAAAACATGATGTTTATATTACCGAGTGTCTTTTTACAATTTGATTTATGAGAGTAAGATAAACATCGTTAACCAGCCATCACAAACTTAGGCCTTTTTCTCTCCCATAACAGTCCGTTTATACATGTATCTAGGAAACATTATTACACGTTATTTGTATTTGCGATTGGGGATACAATTGCCAAGAACAATACACAAAGCACTATTATATGACATCATAATTAAAAGACTGACCAATGAAATCAAGCCGATGGTGTAACCCACTAGTGTGACCAAAAATATTCGCAAACTGCTAGCAGATTATCAGATGAGTTTGGAATGATGACATCTATAGTGGTTGTGAGAGAAATTCACACGAGATGAAATGTAACAGATACTCCTTCATGTTTCCAGTAACGGGCACGTATACTCATCAAGGAACTCGGAATTTACTATTATTTTTGTAAAGGAAACAAACATGTTACTGAAGCGACACTGCCCAATTGTCACTGCTGCTTCATCAAATGTTTTTTGGAATGAGCCACTTAGTAATAATGTTACAACAAAACAATATATATTTGCTCTTGTTCAACAGAAATCCAATATAGACCCACACTATAAGCCTCCCATACAGATCCTCAATATAACTCTCTCATACAGATCCTCAACAGAACTCTCTCGTACAGATCCTCAATATAACTCTCTCATACAGATCCTCAACAAAACACACAGATACAAATCCTCAACAGAACTCACCCATACAAATCCTAATTATAACTCACCCATACAGACCCTCAACAAAAATCTCCCATATAGAGGTCCACGGTCAATGAAGTGCTTTGTTAATACAAAAATCTTGCTATAAATCTATATAAACACACTAACACACAATCTAATACATTAAGGAAATGTAACAAAAAGCACTGACGTTATTTTCTTACTCTGTTAATGTTTACATTCTCTCCATATCATTTCATGATAAACACAAATCACATAAAAAAACGACAAACAAACAAGTTGAAGGCTAAAGAGATTGTTGTGTGTCAACTTCCTTTGGACTGATTTGTGTAAGGTAGCAAGTCTTTAGCAGGAAATCCGTGTATGACCAGTAGTATTATCACCATGGCGATGAAGGGAGCCATCAACAACCACTGTAGATCTTCCATCACCAAGGTGTTAAATCTGTCAAAACAAAAACACATCAGGTAAACAATAACTCTTCATTAACAAATATCAGGGTCGTATTCGTGTATCATGGTTGAAACCGTTCAAGTGGCGCCGAAATATTCCACGATAACTAACACACTTGGACCAAACTATAGGCAGAGCTGAGAAATTATATGCACAGTTTCAGGTCAGCCTCGGTTCAGATCAACTGGTTGAACCAGATATGTGAAAGGGGCCCTGGTTCACATTAATTCTTTATTAACAAACATCAGGGCAACATGGATTTAACACATCAGCTGAACAAGAAATATCAATCTTCTTCCTGTTGTGTCATTCTAAATCTGTAGCAATATCTGGCAACTCAACATTGATTTCACACATGAAATTGATCTACATACCTCAATGGATAGGAATCCTGGAAAATTTGACCATGCTGATTGGTCATGATCACTGTCACATGACCAAGCCTTGGCTCCTCCCATACTGGGATGATGACACTGTATTCTCCAGGTTGGTCATACTCATCAGAAAACAGTAAATTACTACCAAAATACACCTGGAATAATCACAAAACCACATTTAATTTTTACAAAAACTAAAAAATATTACCGCAACTGGCACATGCTTCATTTTAACCGATGTAACTTGTGACTTTGTCCTTTACATCGCTAGTTGGCCAAATAAACTTTAAAACCCACTTCTTGGTGATGCTGGAGTATGTAGTGATTTTATCCATTTTCTTTATCTTGGAGATGAGTTACTTAGTCCATAATTCATGAACATGCACATTATCTTCACATTTTGTCTTTTAACACATGCTATCTTCACATTTTATCTTCACACATGCTATCTTCACAAATGCTATCTTCACAATTTGTTTTTAAATACATTCTATCTTCATGTTTTGCCTTTTAATGCCTTCTATACATTTATCTCTTTGATTCTATCCATCAATGTTTTTGTGCTACATTAATCAACATGAGGACACAAGCCTTTCCACACTGGAAAGTTCCACTTTTACAGTATCCAAAACAAATCCAAATCCATACAAATGTACCAAAGAACCGACTTTACATTTATCTAGATAGAAATAGGTCAAACTAATTCTCATGTTTGTCTAGACTTTGTAGAACTATAGAAAGTGATACCTATATATAGTTACCTTGATTTTGTAGACATTTTTTGTGCTTCCTGTTGGATCAATTATTTCAAATTGTAAGGTGAACTTTCCACCAGTTACCTCCCCTTCCGACTTGGTAAACCAGGTAACATAGACACCGAGCTGTGGGTTAAATTCACCATATTATTTCATTATCATTATTGCGGGAGTAAAGTCACCATATCATTTCACTATCATTATTACTACGGTAAAGTCACCATATTATTACACTATCATTATTACTGGAGTAAAGTCACCATATTATTTCAGTATCATAATTACTGGAGTAAAGTCACCATATTATTACACTATCATCATTACTGGGGTAAAGTCACCATATTATTTCACTATCATCATTACTGGAGTAAAGTCACCATATTATTTCACTATCATTATTACTGGGGTAAAGTCACCATATTATTACACTATCATCATTACTGGGGTAAAGTCAACATATTAATTCACTATCATTATTGCGGGGGTAAAGTCACCATATTATTACACTGTCATTGTTACTGGAGTAAAGACACCATATTATTTCACTATCATAATTACTGGAGTAAAGTCACCATATTATTACACTATCATTATTACTGGGGTAAAGTCACCATATTGTTACACTATCATCATTACTGGGGTAAAGTCATCATATTATTTCACTATCATAATTACTGGAGCAAAGTCACCATATTATTACACTGTCATTGCTACTGGAGTAAAGACACCATATTATGACACTATCATCATTACTGGGGGAAAGTCAACATATTGTTACACTATCATCATTACTGGGGTAAAGTCAACATATTATTTCACTATCATTAGCAATTTAACCTTGACAGCGAAATGATATTCTGAATTATTATTAGTATCACCCTGTTAAATTACTAGCTGCTTCCTACTGACTCGGCTAGGGAGATTTCCTCTCTAGCTCATTCGGTAGAGTATAAGACAAGTAAGCCAGAGGTCCTGTGTTTGACTCGTAGATGAGGCATTGAAAATATAACATACCTGTCAAGTGACCCAATTTCGTCGGGTTACACCCAGGATTTTAGCCCTTCACCCGCTTTTATAATTTCACTCGCCGGGTTACGATTTTGACCCGGATTTCATCCATTTCACCTGTTTTCGCCTGGAATCTTTTCGTATATTAGAAGTTACCGAAGTCACTTGGAATTCTCTAGACTATTACATCCTTTGTCATAAGAAAGACGATCAATTTCCCGTTTCTGTTTCTCATCGACAGGTAAGTTGTGAGTTGTTTATATTATAATGACCTCAGTTCTATTAGCGTTACTCAGATAACAAAGTGAGTTCCCTACAACAGACAATGTACACGCAGATATTTACCTTATTTTGTGCATAAGAAAAGTCATTGGGAGTTTTAACATCAGATGGTAAGGATTGTAGGTGATTTTCCCGTATTTTTTCATCATCTATTCCAGTAAATGGATCCTCCACTTCATTTTCAGAGCCAAGGCATATAAGAGATCCATCGTTGGTGGCTATGAGGAGCTCCACGCCTTCAGCTTTGTCTACCAGGTCATGGGACAAAATTTGCACCAGTGACGATTCCCCAAGGGGGTAATGGGTATTACATTCCAGAGTAGTTGATATAATATGCAAAGACCCATCATTTGTTAAGAAAACCTGTAAAAGCAATCAAATCTATGATCAAGTCTTTAACCAATAGTTTATTATCTCAGTAGTTTATCTCATGTACCGTGTACATCTGAGGGACACTTGAACAAAATATACTCTTGTGTCGCAGTAACAATTTACAAACATATACACTGTTTGTCTCAAGTGAAATTACACTAACAAAATCTACTCTATGTGTCTCAATCGATGCTCTAATAAAATATACACTGTATGTTTCAAGTGATATTTCAGCATTTTCTTTTTTTAAGATAACCTGACAAGTACCTTTTCCGTCTTTGCGTATTGCAGAGTTATCTTCTCTTGGGAGCAGGTATTGATTGTTACGTTACTTGTTTGTGAGAATAATGTCATTAAATCAATTCTTGCTCCTAAGAGAAGATAACTCTGCAATACGCAAAGACAGAATAAGATAACAAATTAATGTTCAAACATTAAACACATATTTCTAGGATTTTTTAAAAAAATATTTTGACAATTTTACTGATTTTGTATGTCCTTACCATATCTGGAGCAGTGTGTGTAGTTGATAGTTTAGCTATTAAGATATTAGCGGTCAGTTTTTGTGCTGTCCTGATAGGCCAGCCTGGCAAAACAGATCCATTCTTCCCATCCAAAGCATAAACGTTCCTGAAATTATACGACAATTGTATCATAGCAATAAAGAGGACGACATGTTAGATTCTGACTAAATGTACTTTAATATGCTTATATGCAGAAACTGAACTTTTTTCAAAATTACCTATTTGAAAGATATCGAATTTGTCTTACATGACTTCAACAAAATTACTAAGTTGGAAACAAATGTAATAATTATTCAATGTCCAAATGATGACTTAAGTAAATGACACATCTTAGCTTGTAGTATAAAAAGAGAGGTATCTTTGGTTGAGATATCCTGTTAATTCTTTTTTCAACTTCAAGTCCAGAAACAATATCAAGGAAGCACAGTTAACTACACAGATGTAACTTGTTTATATATCGCCCAGCGACCGGGACAGAATTAATCTGACATGTAATTGTTATTTGCTGGTATGAACATGTACACCTGAATGCAGCATCATATTGTCTCCTGGTTCCTGAACTCTGATCTTACCCATCATTGGTGGTGATAATGACATCTAAGACGGAGTCCTCATTCAAGTCATATAAACGACTGCCAGGAGAGGAAGTCCCCGATATCTCTGCTTCCCAGATAGTGCTGCCATCTGCACCGATACAGTGCACATTACCACTCGTATCCACGACAATCATGTCTAATCTCTCATCGCCGTTCACATCAGATACTGTGATCTACAGGAGTCAAATTTATATCAGTTTTAAAACAAACTCTGATATAAATCCCACCATTAAATAAATTAAATTATATTCTTATGTGGATAAATAAATGGATATGAATATTTGAAATTCCAAACATTTCAGTGACTCTGAGTCAGGCTATTTGGTAGTCAAGTCAATCTAAAAGTCTAAGGTATGTCATTTCAATATGTACAGGTAGAAATATGATGCATATTATTTTTGGAATTAAATTAATGTTGTTACAAACATATGTTGCTCCAGCCTTATTGTTTTGAACCAGGAACCTTCAGTTTTATTTTTTGATTGAGTTTTATTTTTTGATTGTGTGTTAACTGTAATGAATCGTGTAAACACTCATGTCTTAATGTTGTGTGTTAACTGTAATGAATCGTGTAAACACTCATGTCTTAATGTTTCTAAGCACACACATACTGTTAGCACTGCACCAATGAAAGTAAAATGTCTTGCCATGATTATACCGGTACTATGAAAGTCACATGTGTCATTTTCAAGCAATGACAGTAGTATGTGTTGTCATGTTTTAACAATGAACGTAACCTTTGTTCTCATACAGCTGTACTAAAATGATAAAAGAATCATGTGTTGTTATTTTATCTCACTCAAATTTTTGTCATGACAGTTAGATCTCTTAATCTCCCGGAAATGGTCAAGTGATGTACAAACCTGACCATGGACACTGTTGACTGTGATTGGCCAGCCCTTCCTAGCGGCTCCCAGGTGATCAAACACATAGACTCGGCCTGCTGACGTCCCCATGACAATGTCTAGAGTACCACCCTCACTGTCAAGGTCAGCGACTGTCGGGGAGAACAGGTTGTAAGCTGGATATACAGACACAACCTGGAAAAAACAAAACAATGCTTCATCAGAATAATCAGAATCATAAAATAGTCCCGAGTAAGACCTAAATATAAACCCTACATTTTGTCTGTTTTGGTTTAACAGCCATAGGGAAAGAATGACTAAGGTGATGATAAATTATCCTTATACAATTGTTTTATCAAGTGATATCCAGATAAAATATTAGATTATTGTTCAAAATTTGATGTATATGCAGGCTAAATATGTACGCCTGAGAAATTCCTGATATCAAATTCACTTTCAATTGCTGTTTTTGTTATATATATGGAGCAACAATTATAAAGCATTTCAAGCTATAAAAATCTGTTAGACCATTACTGACTCATTCTCACAGTAGGGTCATCACCAGTTTACACAAAGCCACAACAAGGTTGTAGTTTTACCTGGGTAAGGTCAAACACTTTGGTCCAGAGTGGGGTCAAGGATGTAAGGTTGACAACTGTCACTCCAGCCACGACATATCGCTCTAAGTCAGTGAAGTTACTCATTTTGTGTTTCTCGAGCTGGTGGGGGAACCTGCTGAGACATCAATACTTTATAACCTTGTTTTATATGTAAAACAAGTTGGTTCTATATAACACTGTCACTCCTTAGTGAGAAAACAACTGGGTACATTGTGAAAGAAAAGTGATAATTTTTTTCTAGCAAAGTGTGATGTGCCAAATATTTATTGATGTAGTTTTAAAAGTGTGTAAACCAGGATGTCATCAAATTGACTAGGTTATAAACAGTGAGCATACAATAGGTGCAATGCCTACATTACCCTCTGCCCCCCAACCCCCAACGTAACTTGAACCGGTAGATAAAATATAACCTTACCTGTAGTCATCCTCCTCGTAGAAGTAGGACACTGGTATGACCAGTTCCTCCAGTCGTCCATCACTGTTCAGGTCAGCTAGAACAGGTGTGGCCAGGATGTGGGGGTCAACAGCAATATACTGGTCATTCTAGGTATACAAAACCAACGGTCAGTTTCATTGGTTTCCATTATCAATTAAATCTGACATAAGGTATGATGGCAAGAATCTGCGCTTTTTCCAACTCCTTTTTTGTTTTTTTTGCATTATTTTCAATATATCTTTTAATAGTTTTATTTTAAGAACATACCGGCACACTTGGTGGATCAATGGTAACATATCTGTCAATGTCATTGTAGGGTACCGATATCATGTCAGTGTACCAGGTCCTGGACACAAACACAGGGGCAACCTGTCAAAAACACAAAGAAAATATGTTCACCTTATACAGCAGATCTCAGACACAGGAAGCTTCTGTAACACCTTATACAGCAGATCGCAGACAAAGGAGACACATATGTAACACCTTATACAGCAGATCTCAGACACAGGAGACACATGTAACACCTTATACAGCAGATCTCAGACACAGGAGACACATGTAACACCTTATACAGCAGATCTCAGACACAGTAGACACATATGTAACACCTTATACAGCAGATCTCAGATACATGAGACACATGTAACACCTTATACAGCAGATCTCAAGACACAGGAGACAGATGTAACACCTTATACAGCAGAGCTCAGACACAGTAGACACATATGTAACACATTATACAGCAGATCTCAGACACAGCAGACACATATGTAACACCTTATATAGCAGATCTCAGATACATGAGACACATGTAACACCCTATACAGCAGATCTCAGACACAGGAGACACATATAACACCTTATACAGCAGATCTAAGGCACAGGAGACACATGTAAGACCTTATACATCAGATCCCAGACACAGTAGACACATATGTAACACATTATACAGCAGATCTCAAGACACAGGAGCCACATGTAACACCTTATACAGAAGATCTCAGACACAGGTGACACATATAACACCTTATACGGCAGATCTCAGACACAGGAGACCCATGTAACACCTTATACAGCAGATCTGAGACACAGGAGAGAAATATGTAACACCTTATACAGCATATCTCAGACACAGTAGACACATATCATATGTAACACCTTATACAGCAGAGCTCAGACACAGTAGACACATATATAACACCTTATACAGCAGATCTGAGACACAGTAGACACATGTAACACCTTATATAGCAGATCTCAGATACATGAGACACATGTAACACATTATACAGCAGATCTCAAGACACAGGAGCCACATGTAACACCTTATACAGAAGATCTCAGACACAGGTGACACGAATAACACCTTATACAGCAGATCCCAGACACAGGAGACACATGTAAAACCTTATACAGCAGATCTCAGGCACAGGAGACACACGTAACACGTTATACATCAAATCTAAGACACAGAAGACACATATAACACCTTATACGGCAGATCTAAGACACAGGACACACATGTAACACCTTATACAGCAGATCTGAGACACAGTAGACACATGTAACACCTTATACAGTAGATCTCAGACACAGGAGACATATGTAACACCTTATACAGCAGATCACAGACACAGGAGACACACGTAAAACCTTATACAGCAGATCTCAGAAGAAAATATGTTCACCTTATACAGCAGATCTCAAACACAGGAGACACATGTAACACATTATACAGCAGATCTCAAGACACAGGAGCCACATGTAACACCTTATACAGCAGATCCCAGACACAGTAGACACATATGTAACACATTATACAGCAGATCTCAAGACACGGGGGACACATGTAACACCTTATACTGCAGATCTCAGACACAGGAGACTCATATGTAACACCTTATACAGTAGATCTCAGACACAGGAGACACACGTAACACCTTATACAGCAGATCTCAGACACAGTAGACACATATGTAACACCTTATACAGCAGATCTCAGACACAGGAGACACATGTAATACCTTATATAGCAGATCTCAGTCACAGGAGACAGATATGTAACACCTTATACAGCAGATCTCGGACACAGGAGACACATGTAACACCTTAGACAGCAGATCTCAGACACAGGAGACACACGTAACGCCTTATACAGCAGATCTCAGACACAGTAGACACATATGTAACACCTTATACAGCAGATATCAGACACAGGAGACACATGTAACACCTTATACAGCAGATCTCAAGACACACGAGACGCATGACAATGGACAGAGTAATGAGTATATGCATTCTTATGATGATGACATAAAAAGGAAAATTACTGTACAAAATGCTTTTTGAGTTCATGCTTTGGAAACTTGAAAATGGAGACTGGTCATTATGTCTAAATTTGGACAAATTGCCAAGGCAGAAAATTCTGCACACACAGAAAAACACTGTTTCAAATAGACAGTACACAACACAATATTTATGTGGAAATTGTGAGTTCTCTTACTGTAGTTTACTGTAGTTTACTGGTGTTGATGATGAAGGTTTTATACTTGTGGGATACTCATTATGCTGTATATTTTAGTATTCCGTCTTTGCGTATTGCAGAGTTATCTTCTCTTGTGAGCAGGTATTGATTATTACGTCATTGGTTTGTGTGAGAAAATTACGTTGTTCTCTCACAAATTGATGACGTTACTCTCACAAGCAAATGACGTAACAATCATTACCTGCTCACAAGAGCAGATAACTCTGCAATACGGAAAAAAGATGGAATAACTGTGTTAATAATGAAGTTTTCTGTTTCTGTGATAAATATGACTCAATATAAACTAAACTTTATAGGATCGTAAGGTTCCTCTCAAATGCACATGTTTTATCGAGACAGACCTGATACTTTTTATGTTTAAGCCTGGTTCCGTCTGGTCGAAAAAACAGTAATTCCCCTGAAGCCATTGTGAACAGCAGATCCAGCATACCATCAGCATCAACATCAAACTAAAAGTAGATGCAAAAGTATTTTATCTTATTACATCCGAGTTCATATACACATTTAAAACAGCTCAGCTCTCGCACTTGTTCTCTTACTCTACTGTCATTTTCACCCATAAGCACATCAAGCAAGTGACTTATAAAAACTTTTCACCTGTTTTAGTATAGACTGATAGAATAAGAGCAAAGCAGTAAAGCTCTCCGTGTGCTGAAGGCTTGTGGTTTCAGAAATAGGAAAAAAAGTAGTACATCAGTTTTTTTATGCCTATATCTTTAAATGCAAATAAATGTATCATCAATACATTAAGCTTAACTCCTTTTCCCTAAACACTAACTCTAAATCAAAAATCGTTACGAAGGAATGACTTATCCATATACATGTACAAGGCTTCTGCTTCTTTCACATAAGGAACTAATCTCCTAGTATGGAGCGATGACTGTGCCGGGGATCCTTGACCTATCTTTCTCTCTCTCTCTACTACTGGTAATTATGTTTGTGTCCATTTCTTGTTTGATAACAACGCTCTACGTTAGACCCTTTTCAAATTGAAAAATCAGCAAAATATTTTCTGTAAATGTTTCAAAACGTTTTTATATATGTAGCTGAACATGCCCCTGGTTCTTTCTCAGAGGTAGAGGTTAGGGTATAGTCAACTCTGGTTTTGCACACATGCATGTACTTTTAATATTAAAATCAAATCACGAATGGTCAGAAACTTTGTCTTTTCACGTTTTGTCTGAGTAAATTCATAACTATCCCAATCAATACTTTAACGCAAAGTACATTATTAAGTGACATCAGGTCTTAAAAATACCTGAAGTGGACTGGCATAGATGGAGTTATCCAGGTTGAGGGCCGGCCATTTGGACTCTGACAAGACTTTGCCTGTCTGGGCATTAATAACAGACATGCTTTCACTGAACGGTGTAGCTGTTATGTCCAAAGAGCCATCACCATTTACATCGGCTATCAACGGTGCAGAGGCAAAAGGAGAGTGGGCAAGCTCAGCCGTCCATAGTGTTGTCAATGAATAACCACATCTAGTAAAAATAAACAGTTTTAACATTGGTTTATAATTAAAGAATATGACTGCAATTCAGGAATTGTTCCGTTGCAGATTCGTGAACACTTTCACCTTCTGTAATGCAGGCAAATTTATCATTACAGCAAAGATTAATAAGTAACATATATCAAATGTGGGCAATTAAGGATTTTACTGGCATAGGGCAAAAGCTTCAGGGAAGTTGCTATTTAACGACTTAACCTTATTTGTCAAATTGCTTTATCTTGTAAAGTTGGTGACATTTTTACTGACAAGTACACAATATTTGTTTTTGTATTCTAGGCAATACACCATAGTTACAATCGTAACGATCCTGGACAAAATAAAGGGTGACCAGTGATCAGATACCTCAAATGGTTAGAGAGTGTGTCTAGAGTTTGGAGGTCCTGGATTGGAATCCTACAAAACAGCAACTACAAAGGGGAATAATGTTGCGATTAGCCTTATAGAATATTTTTTGGAGGTATATAGACACGAAAGGGAGGTGATTTATTAAGTAATAAATGATGTCGGGTGGTACAGGCAGAAAATCATAATTTCTTATGAGAAAAAACCAGCATGCTATGGTATACTGGCAGGTTACAGAGCCATTTGTGCGGTAATGGCTATTTATGTATATAGTAGTAATGTTATAAAGATAAGCCATTTACTATATAGGTTGGGCCGCAGTTCTGTACAATGATTAGGACTAGTAAACTTCAGTAGAAACTATGAGTTACAACTAAATAGCACCAGACAGTACAATAAACTTAACGATGATTACAACTAGGAAACTTTGGTGACAGTTGGTATACTGTACAAGTACAATGATTAGCAAGCTTCAGAAAAATTACAAATTAACTGATCACAATGAGCAAGTTTCAGTGGGAGTACATTGCACGAACAAGACTGAGTGACAGTAAACCGTACAATGATTACGATTTGAAGGCACCAATGGCAGTAACGTTACTGCATTCTTGTCATCTTGACGAACGTTATTTAGGTACGTGAACAATTTGTGTTAACGTATCTATATTATTAATGCTACCTCATTCTTTCATATCCATCGGCCTTCAACTTCGATGTCAAATGTTCATCTGCATTGACATCAGTTAGAAGAAATAAACTGAAAATCAAAATCCTAAAAGATTCCATGGTTGGTACTACAGCGTGCGGCCATATTTGTATGTCTAATCCTAAAGTCCGCTGACGGTTTGCAAAAAAATGAATCCGGAAAATAGTACGGGACTTCATTATTACATCGATATTCGGGAGAGGGCATGGTAGGTCAGGGGCGGATCCAGGATTTCCTAAAAGGGGGGGCCGAGAAATTTATCTCAATAGTCAACGGTGTGCTGCGAAAGGTAGCAGCCCGAGCGCGTAGCGCGAGGAGGGGGAGGGTACAGACCCCCTCCCCGTAAGGGGGGG